GCCCGGGCGGGCTGGAGGACGGCGAGGGGGCGGCGGGGGGAAGACGGGCTGGCGGGAAGGGGCTGCACGTGCGCGTGGTGGAGCCGGGGAAGGGGGCCGGGGGCCAAGAAAGCCAAGGGGGGCCGCAAGGACGGGGGGGGGGGCATGTCCGCGATGGCCAAGGGGCTGCAAATGCAGACGGTGAGGCGCGCCCCCCGCAGAGGGATCCCCTTAGAGACTGCACAATACCAGCGGGAAAGCTTACTGAGCCATGGCCGGCGTGCAATGATTGGCACACTTCACTAAACCTTCATCTTATAGCCGCTGTGCGTTCACGGCTCCCAGGCGGGAGTCCTGCCTTCGGCCGCTTAGCGGCTGATGCGCTGGTGGCTCGTCCTGGCTCACCCGCGCGCTGCTTGTGGCAGGTGTCCCGGCTGTGGCTGGAGGACGCGCGGCTGTCCGCGCACGACGACGCGCACGCGGACGGAGCGGGGCCCAGCAGCAGCGACGAAGAGCAGGACGGGCACAGGTAAGGCGGTAACGAAAGCTGGGCACTGGAGAGCAGGCTGGGGACAGGAGGGATGGGCTTGTAAGCATGACGGCTGCGGTCACTCGGTGCGCGTTCGTTTGACGCCAGTGGCAACGCGTTAGCAGTGACGCTGGTTTCTGAGAAAGTCGGTCCAGGCAGATTTAGAAAGGCCTCTACGCAAGGCGAAAATGATGCCGCCTCAGTCACTCCATGAAATCAAAGTTTTGTCTTTTGACTGCAGTGGACGGGTCTCGCTCGTCCGCTCGCGCACTCACAGCGACGTCGAGAGCCGGCCGCCCCGGCCCCCCGGCAAGGGAAACGCCCGGACGTCCAACTTCCACGCCCCGAGAAGGAAAGCCCCATTGCCCGCAAAAGGCGCAATTCCGGAGGCTCCGGATGCCGACGACTTGCTGCAGCCCGTGCGAACACGGGAGGACATCAAGAAAGAGGCGGCAGCGAGGATGCATCCGACACACGATGCTCGGGAACCCGTTGCTCGGGAACCCGTCTGTGTAGGCTAACGAAAGGGGCAGGGGAGACTGGTGGCTAAGATGATCAGTACGGTTTCTTCCTGCAACTTTTTACGTCACGCTCAGTCATTTGCAGATGCTATTGGCCGGCGAGTCGACTCTTCATGCTATGGCGTACATGCATTTGTGGCGGCCGCGCCCCATGTGTAAACCAACCACAAATGTTGAGAGCAGCGACCATTCTGAACGCAGTTGGCTGCACTATGTAGCATCCGATCCGGGCCACGAACTCATCCGAGCTCATACGGACGGCCCCGGTCCCACGCGCGTGCAGTCAAAGCTCATCAGCCGTTAGTAGCTGCTATGGCATCAGGCATACGTTCATGCCTATTTACGGACGCACCGACAGAGATATATAAGCTCGCACAGTGCACGTCATGCCGCGTATCGAGCTCTAGGGATTGTACCCTCAATGACACGTACATTGATGCGATCAAGCTATAGAATTTGCGTGCACACACAGATTAGTAAATCCTTGCGCAAGCGAGTCGCACTGGACTCGATGGTCTCTTTCGTCGGGCTCCACAGAAGCAGCTCTAGTGCGGCGATCCACACATCGACAAAGGTATCTTGCAAAGGACCGCGTTGTCATACGTGTATACCGCATCCGGCCTTGCCGTAACCCCGGGTATGATATGCAATGTACCATCAGGGCCCCTTTGTAGGCCCCTAAAACCCTAGAACCCTAGAACCCGAAATCAGCGCATACCAGAATTAGCTTGACTTAAATGGTTTCAGATTTCCATAGCTGTAGTTACACGCAAACCTTACTGCACTGATAGACAATCCTCGATGCCGCCTCAGACATTGCTCTAGCTTTTCCAGATGATGCAACGGGGCCAGCGTAATCCAAACGGCTTCAAGTGGAACCGGTGGTTGCACCCTAGCTAGGGCTGACGCCAGCTCAAGAACTGTAGGATTGAAATGACCCGACTCGGAGATGCAGAGCAATAACTGCACCTTAACGTTCCGATCCGCATGGTGCACATCTCCCCCAAATGCAAGCTGCTTGAGCCGACAAAGTTTTGAACCTGCGTAAGGAGGAACTCGGAGGTCGAAGCTTGACACCTCCCTCTGTGAACCTCCAGCATACCTGCCACCTTGTGTCCGCATCGGTCTGAGCTTCATTACGTTGATCAACACGCAACTCTGATGTGTCAACCAGCAGATCTGTCCTCGGCTGTCCCAGGCAAAAAGATACGCGGATCGGACTGCAATTGTCTGCTGACGCTAGTTGTCTCTGCAAGTACTCGCTAGCGCTGCTCAACCCTTATCTCCAATTTCTTCAATCATCATGTCGGGATCTCGTGCAGTAAAGAAACGGTGAACCTTCTCCGACAACTTGGGCCCCACTCGGCGGCTCGACTCCTGGCCCGGCTGCGAGCCTTCGCCAAAGCCAATGGTCCGCGGGAGGTCCTTCAAGAGCGCCGCCTTCTCCTGGGCCTGCAAACAGGAGCCAGATGCTCAAACACAAGGGTGACTACTCCCTGAGGGACCCTAAAACAGGCAAGGCAGAACATGGAGCCCCGGGGGGCTGGACATCTCGCTTCGATCATCGGAAGGTGAACACACAAAGGGACAAGGGTGGTACGTCGGGTGTCCAGCACCACCAAGAAAGTCATCCAGAGAAAGCGTACCTGCATCAAAAGCATACATTGCATCTTTCGTTCTTGGCTGTCTTTCTAAGGTACACAACTCAAGCTGGTCAACCGAAGAGTTGCGTTTGTCTCGATCCCCAGCCTGTCGGCTTCCTTTCTTTTCAGGACGAATGAACAGGCCACACGCAGCTCATCAGAAGGGTTCTGCAGACTGGCACATCGCGTTTGGAGCAGAACAGCCTGCCGGGGGCCTGACCGTGGTGGTGGGGTGGTGGTAGGCGTCCAGGAGGGAGCGCAGCGTGGGGTAGCGCCGCTTGATGGCCTCCGCCACGTTGATGGACACGCCGTCCAGCAGCGTCAGCCCCTTCAGCCTGCCACCACAGCACACCCACCACCGCGCTGAGCCACACGGAGTTATCCCCAGACAGCAACAGGCGGCTACTTCGACTGGCGGCATGGCTCATGTTCAGAGGAAACCAGCACATAAGAGCCAATCGTCACGCCATCCATCAACATCTTCGACCCGTCAAGCGTCAGGAGAAGTCCCGATAGACGGGTGGTCCAGGCAATCAGCCTCTAGATCTAAGAAACATGTATAGGGGGATCCCCACTCGCCAAGCTTCTAACACGGCATGCCACTTTTTGGGAGTGAGCCTGGCCGCTCACCAGGGCCACTTCTTGAGGCGTGCCTTGTCCGACGGCTTCAGGTGGTTGCCCCCGCCGAAGGTGCCCACCACCGTCGACGCCTTCCTGCAAAACACCAGCAGCGTGTGCACGCCGTCAGCCTCCATGTTGGAGAATCGCAGCACCCCTGCGTCTCCTCACACCTCGACGTGTGCGAGTTTCGAGACTGTGCCGTTTGAGAGCGCTGTAGTCTCACGAGCGAAGCAGTGCAGAGCTACATGGCAGTGCAACCCACGCCAGCCGCCTCTCTGCCAATCCTGCTGCGCTGCATGCTCACTTGTAGGGCGCCTCTGCGTGGCCGCGCGTGAGGTTCGCGATGTGCTCCGCGGCCTCGTTGTCGTCCTTGGGGGTGCAGCTGCGCACGCGGTCATAGTGCACGCACAGCCGCGCCAGCGCCTCGTCCACCCCGGGGTCCACCCACGCCACGTGCCCCGCCACGCCCGCCTTCTTGTAATCTTCCGCCTTCCTGCATGCGCACACCCAGCATCCAACAGGGACAGAACGAGCAAGCCACCACAAGAGCCGACAAACTTTGTCCAGCATCTCTGTGTATCTTCATCTAAATGCGGCCAGCAGTCGAGTGGCCGTTGTCTGGGCAATACAAGGGGTGGTGTGCGGCCCTCACCGCTGTTTGATGTACTTGCGTAGCTCGGGGACGAGCAGGCAGACGGTCCAGCCGGGGTGGCACACGCTGGCGGCCTCCAGCGTGGTCCACAGCGACCCGGTGCGCACCATGTCGCAGAACACAGCGGCAGAGTACACCAGCACTACGTATGGCACATCAACCTCCTGCCAGAGAGAGACCGACATGTCGAATACAGAAGATCTGGTTGACCAGTAAGCGGGCCCAGACAGAACCAATTCAGATCTTTGTGCACCAGGCCTGCAAGTATAGGATAAATACGAAGTACGCCGCCTTGCAGTTTCGATTCCGTTATATGCCGGCCCGGATTCCTAGTGGAAGAGCGACTCGGACGGTAATCATTGATGAGAACGACAATTCGGCGCACTTCCCCAGTAAAGCATGCCTACCATCTTGTTAATTGGGAAGTGGTCCTGCGTACCACCACCATGAGGTCTATCTTCAAGATTTTGCCAGTTCACTGGACACTGGGAAAGAGTGGTGATTATGAGCCCTTGAATACATGGACCTCTATTGTTACACTCAAAACGAATATTATGGCGCCAGATACACCTGACTGCACTGCGAGGTTGACATCCAACTTATCTGAAGGAACTCTGGCTCGATTCGACTCGGGGTTCATGCCTCAATCAAGTCGCTCACCTTTTCAGCAAATCTTATGCCAGGCATTCTGGTGATGGCAAGAAAGGTGATGTGTAAAGAGGTCAAGGCCGTGGCAGCATTTGACCCGCGATATGACCGACATAAGAGTCCTCATGCGCAGGACGTCACCAAGCAGTCTTGTGCATGGGTGCTGTCCTCACCTCCCCCTCGACCTGCGAGTCCGGCTGTGACTCCGGTGCTTGACTCTGGCTCTCGAATTCGTCTTGCGTACCCACTCGGCTGCGGTAGTGCACGCGCCGCCAGGTGATGGAGAAGTCCATTGCGTTGGCACAGCACTCAAACTTGAGCTGCTTTGACTGCAGCTCCAAGGTCAGCATCACTGCACACCACCAGACAAATTGTGTTGAGAAGCTCGGCTGGGTCCTGACTTCAATCCCCACAGGGAGGATTTCTGGTCAACAACGTCTCGTGGAGAAGAAGGCCGCTTCGACATGGACTGGACTTGGTGCCAACATCCTGACAGCATGTGGACCAAATTCGCACTTTTGGAACCCTCCCAGGCTTAGTACCCTTACTAGCCTGTGGGCCACTTTGGACTCCTGGATACCCGTACTGGTTATCCATGGTAAAGTGTACCGAATTCTGGCGGCGGTCAAACCACCGGACCACAGAAACTCCCCAGTCATTCATGACTTCCCAGCCAATAACAGCGGAAACTGTACCACCGCACGCAGTCCAGGGTGTTGGACCTCGAAAGGTTTCCAGAAGTCCAAATCTGGTCCACATTCTCCTTTCAGGGTTTCTGACACTGTTGCACACTGCACAGGAGCGCGCAGAGCAGGTACATGCCTCCGCATCAACGACCTTCTGTAATACAGCCTCACCTCCCAACTGATCCCTTCCAATGAGCGACTGGTCGATGCGCACGGTGCAGTTGGCAAGCGCGTCCTTCCCACTCAGCTTCTGGTATGCGTCCCGTTGCTCCGCCCGCTGCTGCTTCTCCTGCTCCCGCTGTGCGCGCTTCTCCTGCACACACATGAGGGGGCCCAGCTGTCAACCCAAAGCACAGCCCAATCATGTTACACCGCGCTTCTTTTGACTTCACCTTGCAGAGCCTTGAGGCCAGTCCACCTCCTTAGTGAGACTGCTTTAGAGCTCAATCAGGATCTTCGGTTTGGTCCTCACCTCGGCTGCCTGTTTCCTGGCCTCCTGCCTCTCCTGCTTCAGCCGCTCCTTCTCCTGCCGCTGCTCCTGCCGCTGCTTCTCCCGCTGCTCCGCCTTGAGCGCCTTCTCCTGCGCTGCCCGCCGCTTCTTCAGCTCCGCCAGCCTCCGCTTCTTCTCCTTCTCGTCCAGCCCCTCCAGCCCCTCCTCCCCCTTGCTCTCTCCTGCCACCCCATGCCCAAGGCCCCCATCTCTCTCTGCATCCTCCATCTTGTTATCTGCTCCACTAGCATCCACTCGCTGGCGCTTCGCACCCCCCGTGGCCCCCGCGCTTCCCTTTTGTTTCGGCACAGCTTTCTGCTTTGCCGGAGCCACGTTGATGAGGTCCACCTCATCTTCTGAGTCATCGCTGCTCTCCTCGCCGTCTCTCTGTCCGCCCTCGTCGTCCGACCAACCTACTTTCTTCTTCCCCTTTGCGTCCGCCGAGACTTTTCTCTTGCATTCCCCCTTGCCGATGCCACCACTGGACCCTGTGGGCCCATCTGACAGCTCGGGCCTGGGAGGGGACCATGGAGCGGGAGGTCGCTTGCCAGGGTTCTGTCCAGAGGGAGCCGCTCTGTCCCCAGCCAGACCCCCACAGTCCTCCATCACTGTAGGCATGCGTGATAGGGGTCTCCATTTTGCTGGCCGCTTGTCATCATCATCGTCCTCGCTTGAACTCAGGTCCACAACCTCCTTCCGGCCTACATTATGAGACAGAATCATCAGGAGTGAGGCATACGTTGGGCTTGCAATTCCTCGATTGCCAGCTGTAACAGTCCCTGCTACTTTCTCCTGCACAAGTCTCATTCTGCATGGTTTAGTGCTTCTGCAAAAAGTCTGGTCAGTATGAGCATACTAGCGAGGTTGAGCATGCCAGCGTGTGCATAAGAGGCAATAAGAAGTGGCTGCATATTTTAGGGATGGGTCGCCACAGGTCCTGATGACTACAATCCAATGCTTCCAGGGCCACTTGCATCCTAACGAACATATTGCTTCTAGCCAATTGAAAGCAGACCAAAGAAACAGGGGCCACAATCCAAACAGTCACCTTGTGTCCCCAGTGCCCCTTTCGGGGAAGCCTTCGCCTGACTATCCGAGTCAGTATCCAGATTCACCAGGTCCCTCGGCTTGTTCCTTTCAGACTGCTTCTTCGCATCCTTCTTTCGCTGCTTGGAGAACTCTGCCATAGGATTAGGCATGGGCCCATTCATATTGACGTGATGCTCTGTCAAAACACGCTCATTCTTCTGCTCATGAGGGCCCCCATGGCGCCAGTCTAGGTCATACCCAGCATCGCTGTTGCTGTCGCTGTCCGCCATCAGCAGCAGGTGGTTGCCCTGCTCAGTACCGGTACGTTCGAACAATCTGATTGCTGCATCCAACCTCAAGCAAAATGCAGCGCCACCAACAACTTGGCAAGTTCTACCAGAGGTACCCCAATGGCAATGGCATAAACCACCCAAACAAGTGGTGTGGACCGTGGTGCATTCGACTGTTGTTGAGGCATCATGCTCCTTGAAGTGGCAAGTGGTTTTGAAAGTGCTCCCGCCAAAAGTTCACCCCCTGGAAAAGCCGGAATTGTCTTGACACATGATCAAACTGAAAATACTTTTTAACATCCTCGTTGTCGTAAAGTGTCAAAAACAATGGCAGCAATTTCAGCGACCACTGGGTCCACTAGCAGTTTGCAGTGGTCGCTTCTATCATTAGGGCCTGGTAATAGTGGCAGCAATTGGCTCTCATCGGACGGCTGAATGTAGCTGCACTGTATCGACGGGTATGTCACCGCCCGCACAGTAAACTTTTCAATAACCAGGGGGAATTGCAGTTCTGAGGGTTGTATGATCCGGTAGTGCAGGAAGCATTCCCTGCATGGGCTCGTTGTATGAAAGATGGTGCTCAAACGCTGGCGGAGAGCGCATGGACAAGGCACGGGACGCCGACGGCGAATCGGAAGGGCCACAACGGCCAGCGGGGCCCCAGCAGGAGCCTGCCAAGCCAGGCCCCGGTCACTTTGACCTGAATGAGACAACTGGGTTGAACGATATCGGGGTGGACGGTTCTGTCTCAGTCAACGGTCTGAGGCCTCCTTTCGGTGGCCCTGTTCCACCCCATGTGCCAACGTACACATCAAACGGCAAGGCAGCTAGCGCCGCTGCCAAGCCTCCTCCCGCGCAAAGCAGACAACCAGCCGCAGCAGCTCATGATGGCCGCTGGAAGACTGCCAATGGGCATGGCGGGGGACAGGGAAGAGCAGCCGCAGGTCTGGAAGCTGACAGAACGACTGCTGTTCCAGTGGCAAGGGCAGCTCAACCTCGGCCCGCATTCAGGGTCAGCCCTCCCGATCCAGAAGTGGTGGACATAGACACCGACAGTGAGGATGGAAGCGAGACGGAAGAAGATGCTGAAGACTACACCGAATCAGAAACAGGGTCCGAGGGGGAGGAAGAGGGACATGCCGGAGGTAAGTCAGTTTACAACAACCTGATTTGTGGGGTCCGGCAAAAGTTTTGTGGGCATTGCATGTTCTTAGATGGTGGCACCTTAACTCGAAATGTCAGCACACGAGTTGCACGTCATGTTATGCATCTCCGACTTGTGTTGACCAGCCATTCTGGGCTGGCGGAGTTCGCAAACTAAAGCAAAACGTTCCAGAGTTGGGTCTCATTGCCTTCCGTAGGAGGGTAAGTGAGTCAGCCTATACTGGCCTTGCCGGGCTGGTGCGTCAACCGCAATTTCCAAAAAACTAACCTCTAAGAGGACCATGAGGCTCATTGGAATGTGGCGCATTGCTGCAGGTCCCGGGTCTGCTGCACCATTGGGCGGCCACTGGCCGCAACAGAGGGGCTCACAAGGCATCCCAATGCAAGCGGGGTCTTCTTTTCCGGAGGCAGCTAATGACCAGCGGCGAGGTTCAAACCGGTTCAAGGCACCCTCGGTCCACGATGACAGCGACGATCCAGACGACTGCGTCATCCTGGGGGAGACCCGCTCAGCAGCCACCGTACGACCTTCCGCTGCGGCCAATGGGAGTGCCACAGCGGGGGGGGGGGCTGTTCCCGACCTGGGTGGTCCTGGTGCACACGGGGCTGCTTGGCCTGGCGCCCGGAGAGGGGGGGACCTTGGCAGGCATGACAACTGGCGGACCGCAGCTGGGCCAAGCGGACGAACAGATGCAAACGAGGAAGGGAGAAACCCTGTGAAGGCAGGGGCGGAGCAGCAGGTGCCAAAAAGCTCGGGCCCAGCGAGGCCGTCCACTTCTGGGCGAGGGGTGGGCACGGGACAAGGGGCCGCAGGAGAGGACGAGGGTTCAGATACAGAGATCCTGGAGGGCCCACAGATCAGTAAGGAGTGGGAAGCAGCAAAGCAGACAAAGAGGAAGCGCCGCGAAGAGCGGGTACCAGCGCAGCCAGGGGCACATCGAGAGGAAGGCGGGGCGGGGCTGGCGGATGGCGCGGTTGATGAGGGAGGCGCGAGTGCGTTCAAGCGGGGGAGGACTGAGGTCCCAGGGGCAGCGCCGGGGCCTTCCAGCCCGGGTGTAAGGAAAGGGGGAGAGAAGTTCAGCTTTTCTCAAGTAGTGCGGGAGAGAGCGGCGGCAGGGGCTAAAGAGGCGGGGGCGGGGCCACAAGGGAAAGGGGAAGGGGGTCAGAAAAGGAAGGCGGACGAGGAGGGGGACAGGAGACAGAAGCAGCAGAAAGTGCCCCCAATGGCGGACTTGCGGGCAAGAGTCCAGCCGAGAGCAAGCATAGCCGCTCAGGCAGGGGGCAAGGGGAATGCAAGGGGGCCAACGGTGATGACGGGGTTGTTCAGCTCGGGGGGCGCCGGACTACGGCCTGTGACTTCCAAGGGGAGCCAGCCACCCAGCCGCGCCAACGGCTGGAAACCGCGGCCGGTGGGACAGGCGGCAGGCAAGAGTGACCAAGGGGCAGCGCCTGCAGCACAAGATGCAGCCCCTACCGGCCCTCAGCCAATGGCAAAGCAGGAGGGGGTTGAGGGGATGCCGGCGAGTGCATCAGCCGCGAGGGAGGGGGAACCAGCTGTCTCACGCTCTGAGGAGGGGGCAGACGGGCGTGATCAGGAGGTGCCGCAGAGTGTGGAGTCGGCCAGGGTGAGGACCGAGGATCGAGCGAGAGAAGATGTGGAACAAACAGATAAGGCTGTCAGCGAGGTGGCGGAGAGACCGGACGCCGAGGCTCGGGTTTTCGTCAAAAGCGAGAAGGCGGATGAGCGAAGTGATCTTGAGAAGGTTGGTCAACACAAGGAAGAACCCCCTCCACAACAGAGTCAAGCGGGGCCATCAGAGAGAGGACCCTTTGAAGCGGAGGGGGAGCAGGACGAGGCGAGAACACCAGTGGTGCTGCGAGAGGCGTTGAAGGACAGTGAGGAGTTCCGATCAGCGGATGCGGCAGAATGGGAGCAGCGGCAGGTGGCCATCGCAAAACAGGTAAGGGGTGCTCAGGCGTCCTATGCTGGGTTGGCTTGTCAAAGTGGCGCGCCCTTGTTGGATGGGACAGCTTAATTCTTCTGGTTGAGCAAGGCTGCTTCCTTTGGTCCTGCAACTGAATCAAAGCTGCTGTAGATGATGCCAACCGCACTGTGCAAGGCAGGGTGGAGGTTGCCGCTGCTCAGGGTTTGTTCTCTGAGGTGCTTCGACTGGGCATGCTTGGCTTTGTTGTTTACCTGTGGCGTTTAGCACCGCAGATGCTGCTCCTGCCGATTCGTCTTTGGCGTAGTTAACTTCTCCTTGATTGCTCTCTGAAGCACGATAACTCTCCGTCTGTTGCGATGCATTGCCAGAACGAGGAGGCTGCTGCCCTGAAGCGCGCTCTGAAGCGCAAGCGCGCGGACCAGGAGCGCCAGCTGGAGACGGAGCAGCGCCAGAAGCAGCGGCTCGACGAACTCCGCACCCAGCAGGCGCAGGTGGGCCCCAGCACACTGTGCTTGCGCTTGCGGTCTAAATCTTTGCAGTCGGTGATACGGATTGCGGAGTTATCTTGTCAGGTGCCGCATGGTGTCTAGGAGCCGGACTAGGGGTTTGACTTCCGACCCAGTACCCTGCTTCACACTCTCGTTAGTCGCTCGGCTTCGATCCATTGTGAGTCGGAGCCTGGCGTTCAGAAGTGAGTGTTCTTCTCAGTAGCTCGGTAAGTATACAGAGGCTGCAGAGAACATGACATTTCGTCGTCTTTGCGGTTCGTCATATTCGACAGAGCTTGGCAGCTTCGGTGCTGGTGTACGGCCCGGCCAATTGTGACGCGAAATGTAACGGTGGTGGCCTGCAGGAGGAGAGCCGGTCAGCGGACCGCGAGAGGTTACGGGGGAGGATCCGGGCGGACCTAGAGCGCAAGAGCCGGGGCGCACACGACATGGCGGCGCTGCTGCGCGCGCTGGGGATTCCCGTGGAAGGCGGCCTGCGGCCTTCAACGCAACAGGTGGGGCTAAAGCGGGCAAGAATCGGCAGCTTGATTCACCTTCCTGTCGACAGGTATGGGTTTATTTCAGCGTCGAGCCGAAGGGGTGCACGTACAACCAGAGAGCGTGGTGAAAGGATGCAGAAAGGCGCCCTGTGATGCAGGTGCCATTGAAGCAAGGCTTGTGCCGTTCGGAACAGTCGGACTCGAGTCGACGAACGGTTCTCTTCTCCTATCCAATTGTAGTACCTTACGAACGATTTTCGTATTGGTGGTGTGCAACTGCTTGTCCGTTGGTTAACGAGGTACATGTGCCCCTTTAGGTGAACGCGGCCTACAAGAAGGCGCTGTTGCGCTTCCACCCTGACCGGGTGAACAGTAGCGCCCCTGGCGATGTCCAGAAGCAAGTCGAAGCCGAGGAAACGTTCAAGGTGATCTCGAAGTTGAAAGAGAAGCTAAGCGCGGCTCCAAAACTGCCAGCATTTTACGGCTTTGCTTCTGGAAGCGGCCACTTCTGAAACAAGGCCAATATGTTCCACGCAACGATGTAAATAATGTTCTGGGAACGGGTCCAAACGGCTTCGTCAACGAGGTAACCCTTCTTGATCATGCGAGTTTTGTCTTGTGCTTTCTCTGCTTTACGCGCCTTGACGTCCCTTGTCCTACCATAGGTGAGTTGTTTAATCTGCGGTTTTGCTTCTGGTACTGTCCCTGGCCCGTTTCTTCTAGATATCGACCAGTGTAGAAAATTGTGTCCTCTTGAACCTAGGGACACGAGACGTGCAAGCTGGCCGCCGAAGACCGATCAACTTCGAACGTGCAGAAAGAAGCTGCTCGAAGTGTGCGGTCAGTCTTGTTCTTGGCGAGTCTTGGCATGACGTCGAGAGTTCTCACATTTGCTTCAGCTTTGACCTGGAAACTCAACGCACACACCAATATCGAAGCCGTAGCAATCCACTCGAAAGCTTATCCCGCGTGGCATCCATGTCGTCGTTTTTTTCTTTGGGGATAAACAGGAAGTACAATGATTGAAGGCTTCAAGATGTGCATACATAGCTATCATTCATAATTGCTTTGCTCAACCCATTGGAGTATTCATCAAGACAAGACTTGTTGCCTCCTAGGCAACGAAATTGTTTAGTGTTCAATCCTTTCGAGGAGCTTTCAAGTCCACATTATAAAATGCAGGATTATGGTTGATGTGGAGAAAGGCAGTAAATCTTCCTACATTGCGATGCGGTAGGGCATGGCATGGATACCTATGGTTTATCTCGAACCTATATTAACGTAGTGCTTAACCGGTGCTTAAGTTCAGCATGGCTCATGAACTCACTTATTTAAAATTATACACAGAGTCATTTTGCAGATGACCAATTGTTGTGTGCCCTAGGGCCATTATTAGCACATATCCGGCGCTAGGTACTAATCTTGCTTTCATTTGATACAGTAAAGCCTGCTATACATACTCAAGGGTTATGTGAGACCAACATGCATACATGTGAGACAGGTCTGAACAGGGCCGGGCTGGCCCCTTAAAGTGCATGATTAGATAGTGGGCGCCGACTTGAGCAGCTAGCTATAAGCTCTTTCTCACGACTTTCCCTCCCTTGTTTTTGTTTTGAACAAAAACAACTTAGGACACATGCTATCGGCGATCAATGGGTGGCCAATAAGAGGACTACTTAGACGTGATTGCTAAAAGCGTTCAGATTATGGAGTCAGGACTTGTGTAGAAAAATTGTACGGCACTGTATGCCAGCGATGGTGATCTACATAGTTTGGTGCCAACGCAGCTATCCTTTGAGGATACGGGAGCATACAGCACCATCCGACTTCCGCAAGCGACCCTGGTCCTAGGCATCGTGTCACAATCTATGCAATGGTGCAAGAGCGCCAAGAACTCCGAATATTGGCCCTCCGACTCGAAGTGGTGGGGCTTGTGGTTGGTGGGGCCAACATCTGGGGGCAAATTTTCTCCTGTCCATCAAAAAGCTTTTCACGGAAACAGTGGGAAGCGGGCAGTGGTGCCTGTTCTTTTTTGGAGTTCCGGACGCCCTTGCGGACATGTTTTGACGTGAGAACACGATGCCCCATTGGCAGGGCCGGTTGTAAGCTTTCAAATGATGTTGAAGCCTTGAAGGAGTCGCCAAGCTGCCCTGTTGCTTCTGTTGCCCAAAAGCTGCAATGGAACCCCATCAGGAATCAAGTTCCACCAACAAAAATAATAATAATGACATACAAAGCAATGCGTTGGCCATGCCAACTCAATGAGTACAACAGCATCCGAGTAGTAGTTGTGGATACTCCAACTACCTTACGTTTATACCTAGTACTAAGGTTTCCGTCACGTACCTAGGTCCATGCTCTGTGCAACACCCGTGCAACATCTGAAACTTCCAACTTCACAGGGCCGCACATGCAGTACTGGCAAAACAATTGATCGCCGGTTTTGAAAGCCGTACAGTTTCCGTACAGTGACAACATGTTGTCACTGTACAGGTGGTGACACCTGGCAAACAATCAAGAAGTGCAAAAATATCACGACGTCAATCAAACGTCAGACAGGTATTTATATTGCCAAGTGGCAGCTTTATAGACCTCTTAACCCTGTCATGTGGTGCATGTGGTCTACGTAAATTTGCGAGTCGCTGACTTGGCATGCGTCTATCTATCTGACACGCAGTCCGGGCTCGGCAGTCGGTTGACCGTTGCAGGTTTTGTTACCTCGGCGCGGCGGCACGCTCGGCCGCCTGACTCCTGACTCGTATGCACTGTGATGATGGCATTCCAAGGCTGGGGCCAATATTCGTAGTCATTGGCACGTACAAGGCTGGCATGTTTGGCGCTTCGAAGTCGGGCAAGAGAGCGAAAGGAGGACTGCATGACAAAAGGCAATGTGAGAAACTTGAACACTCGTATCAGGTGAATTTGCGTATACTTCAAACGTTTGTCTACATTGTGCTAGCGCCACTTTTCATCCAACTCTCTTGCATTGGCGCCAACGCACTGGCAAGCAATTAACGAAGAAGGGCGAGCGTGAGGCCACTGAGGTAGGGCTGCACAGCACCGTCGGAGCTGTACGAGTAACGACGGTCGTTCGCCTGATCCCCTCCCCAGGGGTACCACTTAATATGGTAAGTGTTACTCCTCCAGGTTCGAAAAGTGTTTGCTGCACACGTATGTGAGGTTCGAAGTTCAAGGCCTAGGAACTTATCCGTGCCAAAGAGCTTCCTGGGGCAGGGTGCACCTTTTCAGTGATCCATGCAGTACTCGCGGTTTGTGAAGCTGATTGCTGCGAATTTGGGAGCAACCAGGAAAGGAGTTGCATAAGTGGCCTTCGCTGATTGTGTTAGTAGTCATCAGATTGTCAGACTGGACAGCCTCCGCGGGCTTGGATCAAAGTTTGTAATACCAGACTCAAATCTGCAAGTTGCTCAGTACCTTTACTACTCAGATGACTTAACATCAACGCGGCCATGTCTTGCTCCTAAACGCGATGTCAGCAACTGCCATCACCAAAGAGCAGGTCGGGGCTAAGCATCTCACCTGGTTTTTATCAGTTCATTCTTTCAAGCAGCCACACAAAACTATGATTCAAAGGAGAATGTATTTCTGCTTTGGAATCGGCTTTAGCTCAAGGTCTGACTTTACAGTGCAGGCAGATTGACAGTAAGGAAACTCCCCAGAAGCAGAAGCCCAAGCCCTGATGCCTGCAGTCAGGCAGATTGTTTGGAAGTCTAATACTGATGATGTACAGACGCACTACTGGATCTAAATTGGAAGTTGTCATGCTTAACAGCAGTCACCGTGATAAAAACTTTCTGTGGAACCTTAAGATCACTCGGGTCTGCAGCACAGACCTCTCAAGTCAGCAGTGCTTTTAAGTGAGAGTTGGCGGAAGTTGTTCAGAACGCCGTCCTTCCATCTAACTCAGGGTTGTGACGCCGGTCACTATCTTTTTCTACAGGCTGGCTTGGTAAACTTGCTTAACAGGGGTGCCAATAACACCTGCTTCTTTACAGCAACATGGTTGTCAACCTAGGAGTACAGTCCAACGACAGCTAGGCAGGCTTGCACTTCTGAGATGCCCCAGGGCTTTCAGTTTATACTTCCAGCTTCCTTGCTCTGAGTCTTTGAGCAATCAAAGTGCTGTCTTTGCAGGCGCCAGAGAATCCTGCTGCCCACCTGCAAACCAAGGAGGATGCTGATGTCAGCACCGTGCAAGGTATCAGGGAAGCCCCGGCAGGGGGCGCTCAGGGCAAAAAGATGGAGCCCTGGGAAATGGAGGCGGGTATGGACGGGCCCAGGAAGAAGGGGAACCCCATCCGGGTTATGCCGTAAGGGCCACATCAAACCGAATCCCAAGACCTCGTGATCAACTGAAATGACTGGCCGGGCTCGCTTTGTTCTTGAAAGCCTCGTTTTATCTTCAAACTTAATCAATGTTGCTGCTCAAGTTGCGTGATTCTTGGCCTGTCAAGTCAATCTGTAACTGCAAGGTTCTGATTCAAACTAGGCTGTCATGAATAGCCCAACGGGGTCCGCTCACTCCCGCTCCCTCCGTCCTGAGTGCAGGTTCATCCTGGCCAACGAGTTCTGTGAGCGCCTGGCCTACTACGGAATCTCCACCAACCTGGTGAGCGCGCTCTTCCCCAGGGTCGCTTTTCCTGCTGTCTCTCGACTTCCATCGGCGTTCGTCACCTCCAAACGAGTGGGGCAGTCCCCAAATCTTTGCTCTTTCTGCCCCAGTTCTTCGGGCTCCTATTCTCCGGTGACCTATATATCAAAGGCGTGGAGGCTGACGTTTCCCGGGTGCTTTGCTCTTGTGGTCCAGGTGAACTACTTGATCGTCGTCCTTCACAAGGGCAACGGGTCCGCCGCCACCGCCGTCACCAACTGGTCCGGCACCTGCTACGTGAGCACACCCACCGATTCGTTTCCTCGGCCTGGCTCGTTGTGGCGTTTGCCGCCTTTCGAAGATCGTCAAGGCTACCTTCTGTGACACCCTCCAACGCAGTGTAGGGTGTCGGCTGAGGTCCAGATGCTAATAGCTGTGCTTTCAGTTTCCTTACAAAACGCAGAACTCTCGGTCTTGAGACCCCCTGCGCTGTCTTGTACATTAACTGGCTTTTGTTGCCTGCCTCATGTGCAGATTACCCCCCTGATTGGTGCTTTCCTCGCTGATGCGTACTGGGGGCGTTTCCTGACCATCCTCGTCTTCTCTGTAATCTACTTTGTGGTTAGCCAAACTCTACGATTCCATCTCCTTCCTGCGTTGGCCTGCACTTACCTGAAAGCTTCTTCCGACAGCTACTTCTAAAAGCATGAGCGTCGAGCTTGATGATCATTACATGCTTAGGGCCCAAAGCGTTTGCAAGCACCTCATCTCCCAGTAGCTTCACAACAAAACGTATAAATGCCTTCTGGAGTCTCGTGAAGATCTCTCGCACTTGCAGCTGAGTGATGGTGAATTCGCCTCCGTCTTAGTTCTCTAGTCTTGACCGTGAACACGAAACTTGATTGATTCAACTGCGCTGGACACTGCTCCACCAACTTGTAAACGAGCTCGGCACTTGTCTCAACCGCCTCGCCACGTATTCGCAGGGCATGGTGCTGCTGACGGTGGACGCTGCGGTGCCGTCCCTGCACCCCTCCGCGGACAGCAGCGGCGCCACCGCGGCCCAGACGGGGCTCTTCTTCCTGGCGCTCTATATCATCGCACTCGGCACGGGCGGCATCAAGCCGTAAGTGTCTCCTCATGTGGGCCCCAGGATATATATGTTTGGTCTTTGCGAGCGAGCCCTTACTCTGACAAAGGTGATATTCAAGGCTCGCGATGCCAGCACACACGATGTCCAGATGTCCGCTATTGACTCGGAAAGATAGCTTGCCTTCCTGGAAAACCAAGAAACCCAAGTGACCGTTGTATGCCGCCCGGCTGCAGGTGCGTGTCGTCTTTCGGTGCGGACCAGTTCGACGAGCGCAACCCGCGGGAGAAGAAGCAAAAGAGCGCGTTCTTCAACTGGTTCTACTTCAGCATCAACGTCGGCGCGCTCATCTCGTCGTCCATCCTGGTCTGGGTGCAGGAGAGGATCTCCTGGGCCTGGGGCTTCGGCATCCCAGGTGCGCACCTCCCCACGGACCGATCTCGTGTGCCAAATCGACAGCATAGAAAAGATTTGGGTTGCGGAACATCTGTTGACGCTTGTTCAAGAAACTCATGGAGCGATGAATCGTTAAGCAACTGAATCTCGCAACGGAGCCGTTTGCTCAAGCACGAAGTTCTTCAAAGTTCCACCCGTTTCTCAAGCTCTAGCTGTTCGATCCACTTATCCAAGCAGGAAAACAATTCGCAGCCTTTGTCCCCACCTCAACCGCCTGCTATCTCCGCTTTGTCTCGTCGATTCCGTCTGACCCTGGCTCTGATTTTTCTCCAGCCGCTGCGATGGGCGTGGCCATCGTCTCGTTCTTCGTGGCCACCCCCTGGTACCGCAAGCTGCCACCTGGCGGCAGCCCGCTCACCCGCGTGGCGCAGGTGCTGACTGCCACGGCGGCCAACTGGCGCCTCAAGACGCCGGCGGACCCGGACGAGCTGTACGAGGTGGAGGGGCCGGCGTCCGCAATCCGAGGCAGCAGGAAGATCAAACACACAAACGAGCTCACGTCAGGCCTCACTCCCGCCCCGCTTGATTATGGGCATACGTCGTGTTAAAAAATGGGAAAAGAACACGGTGTCTTGGGTTCTGGATGAATCTTCTTGTCTTTTCCTCGTGTCCAACAAATCCAGCGGCCTACCCTTCCTGATGGGCAGCGGGAAATTGCCCAAGTCTAGAAGTGTTTCGAGATTGCCTCCACTCTGCGCGCAGCCTCTCAGTACGCTTCCGTCGCTTCTGAAAGCAATTCTCTCGTTCTAATTTATCTGAGCATCTGTGAACCCTTTAGCTTCCTCGTATAGGCTCTGCTGCGGTCTTACGTTTCGCTCTTCTTTCCCGCGCTGCTTCACCCCCCGACTGACGCTCGTCCCGCTCCCTGTTCGCAGCTTTCTGGACAAGGCGGCCATCGTTCCCGCGGGCGCGGCCGCCCCCGGCGCGCGCAGCCCGTGGAAGGTGTCCGCGGTGGAGGAGGTGAAGCTGGTCGTCCGGCTGCTGCCCATCTGGGGCACCACCATCGCGTTCAGCACCGTGTACGCGCAGATGAGCACGCTCTTCGTCGTGCAGGGCGGCACCATGGACACCAGCATGGGGCCGCACTTCAACATCCCCGCAGGTCAGCGCGCGGGCCGCGGCCGGCTCTAGATTCTGGAGTCTGGTTCGAGCAACTGTTTTCAGGGCCTAATCTGCAGCATACAGGAGTGACGCGCCCTGCGCCTTCTGGTGCCATGCTGCTCGAGAGTTACTCTGGCCAGACCCCATCACTGCTTCCACCAATGACCGGCCGGCGTAGTGGCCCTTGAGTTTTTCTTAGTCAATTGCACACTCTTATCGAATCTCGAGAGCGACAAGAAGGGCTTGAGTCACCTTTCTTTTGAGTAACAAGAGCTGATTCGCTCACCTCCTGCTCTCTTTGTGTGGTGCAGCCTCGCTGTCCATCTTCGACACGCTGTCCGTCATCGTGTGCGTGCCTCTCTACGACGCTCTCTTCGTAAGTCCCCGTTCAACTCCTATCCTCCGACCCCATGCAATCATCATTCAAGAGCGCTGTCTTCACCAGTTGCGCTATGGTCAGTCCCCTTTCAGGCTTTGCTTGTGTCCGAGGGCACTTCAAACTATCTGCTCAATTGCTCCGGCCGCATGTCGCAAGCCATAGCAACTTCCTTGGGTAAGTCCGTGCCGCCTTGAAGTTCGGCTGCACTGTTTGAAGTTTTATTGTACCTGCATGCTCTCGACTTTCCCTGCGCTCAAACCCCCATTCCCGTTTGCAGGTCCCGATCATGCGGCGCTTCACGGGCAACCCGCGCGGCGTGACGATGACGTGGCGGATGGGCATTGGGCTGTTCATCAGCTGCCTGTCGATGGCAGCCGCCGCGATCCTGGAGGCGGTGCGGCTGCACGTGGTGCACAGCCGGAACCTGACGGACGTGGACCCGTCCGTGCAGCCGGTGCCGATCTCCATCTTCTGGCAGATCCCGCAGTACTTCCTCGTGGGAGCCGCCGAGGTCTTCACCTTCATCGGCCAGCTCGAGGTGACGCCCCCCGCCCAGCCAGGGCCGCCCACTCGGCTCTGCGTTCCAGGAAAAGAAGCTTCCCGTCTCGCAAACGAGTTCCGTGCAAGCAATTCCTCAGATTCCAGTTCTTCTCTCTCGAGATTCCGTTGCAAACCTACTGCGCTCGCAACCTGTTGCATCGGTTCTCCATTAGCGCCGCGCCCGCAATGGTCTTCTGATCATAAAGTAAGCCCTTCAGAACAAACCGCCCATCCGATTCTTCCTTTCGCTCTGGCGCCCCCGTGGACCCCCCTCTCCTCGTCTCTTCTCCCCGCAGTTTTTCTACGACCAGGCCCCCGACGCGATGCGCTCGCTGGCGTCCGCGCTGTCGCTGACCACGATCGCGCTGGGTAACTACCTCTCGTCGCTGCTGGTCACCATCATCACGTCCGCCACGCGGCGCGGGGGATCCCCCGGCTGGATCCCGGACAACCTGAACCGGGGCCGCATCGACCTGTTCTTCACCGTGCTGCTCGCGCTGTCCGCCGTCAACCTGGGGCTGTACGTCCTGGCCGCGCACGCGTACAAGTACAAGCAGGTGCAGGAGATCTACCCCCCTGGAACGGAGGGAGACGACCGCGAAGTGGCGGAGTTGGACAAGGATGCCGCGCGGCTGGCGGCAGGGTTCAGGGCGCCCCTCCCCCCGCACACGGCGTTCGGGGAGGCGAGTGGAAACGAGGGGAAGTAATGAGCGCACGCTTTTTGGCTGCATTTTGTAGCCGGGGTCTGCCTGCAGAAAGGTCGTCAAAGAACGCTGAGTTGCAATTTGGGTTCCACTGGTCGAAATCATCGTGATAGGTGACGAGAGTGCAAGCGTAAACCGGTTCCTGATTTGGCACTGCGTAGCAGGTGGTCCTGTTTGGGCCTTGTCATAGGTTGTACGAGTAAAGGCACGCTGAGTTGTCAAAGCACGCTCAAGTGGCAATATAAGGCACCATAATCAACACGGGCATCGTACGACGGTTGGAAGCGTAGCTACAGTAATGCATATATTGCGTTTTATGCGGCGCGCATTCAAGCAATAGTCAAAACAGGTATTAAGTCCGGCAGCTATAGTCGATCGATTCAAGTGCAGTACGTGGCCTTGTAAAAGCAAGCAGTAGCGCCACAGGTTTTGCTTGTGTAGGACTTAGCTAGGGAAGAGAAAACACCCGTGTCAAGATATCACGAGTAGAAACAACCTATATCAGTCAAACAGCATGCAGTTAGATAGAATAGCACATGCGAAGGGCATATGCAGGAAGTATTCGTGTATCACCTGTGACTATACATAGGTCTGAATGTATCAGGAAGTTGTTTCTCATATTGTAGCCGATTATTCGTTTTGATATATGCGTATGAGGTGTAATCACCCGAGGAAGGATCGTGACCCTAGCTGTGGTCATATTAGTAGAGCAACGCTGCGGCCGAAATCAGTGCAAGCCATAGTGGTATGCATACGTGTTCAATCGCGAGTCCTCCGGACTATAATCATGATACAGAACCAGGTATACACTTGTGTTTTTTCTTACCTATATTGGCTGCATGATACTGTCACCAAACCGTCAGCACGGATCGCGATCAGTGAGCCATACACTGTAGTCTTTTGAGCTTGTTGCAAACACAGTAAATTATAACGTGGGGCCACCGGCCCGGCGAGCTCAGCTTGACAATCAAGTTGTACGTGCGCCTGACTATGAGCGCCGCCTGCCATCCAGTACATACCACATGTTGCAATGATCAGCTATTCAGAAAGGCATCCAAACAACGACCACAGAAAGCTCTGCTTTCCGTCACCACAGATGGCGTTTGATTCGCTCCGAACTCGCTCGGAAAGTTAATAACTTCACCTAGTATACTGATACTTGCGTGTACACGGCACAAAACATGTGAAGTTTTCAAGAAGACAACTCGCGGTACTGGAGACTTGTCCTGCCGAGACGACCCGGATCTCAACCCGACAAGATCTGCAACTTTAAGACGCTGCCACTCGACTTCCGAAGCGGGGGCGAGAATCAGGTCCTTGCACCTTCGTCGCCTATGAGGGGCTCTTCTGGCAAAAGTTGGAGGTTTATGCTCAGGTTCTTGAGGACGGCCGGATACGCCTTGAGTAGCCTGCAAAGAGGTCGAGTGTTTGTATTCCCGACACTTGCCAAAAAACCATGTGAGGGCAAACTTAAGTTCTCACTTGTTCTGCTTTCTGTGCTTCGACGTGAAAGTTCTGAGCACCGATGCTTGACAAAAGGGACACTTAAGACGTTATCGTGCTCAGAAACTGTCCCCGGCACAATCATCAAGCGGTGCACAATCCACGATGCGAAGTCAATCACAGCTTTCGAACTAAATGTTAGAGGATACCAGCCTTCATTCGAAGCTGGCCTCAGCGAGCCGCCACCGAAGTGGAGTTTGCTCGCCCTGATCAATGGCAATGAGACAGGTTTGCACAATTAAGCCGCTGCGATACGGGCAAAGATAGGAAGATTGCGGTTTCTGCCAGAGCAGCTTGATGTTGGACAGCGATTCAGGGGTCCTCTTGTGCGACTGATCGTTTCCCCTAAGGGAAGCGCCAGCAGAGACCTCGTATCCAGGTAGCTAAGGAGTGTTCGAGTGCAGTGAAAGAACCATCCACTTGTCAAGGACACAAAAACGGCGGCCAGTCTAGCTACGACTCGTACAGACTCTCTGGGTTCCAGTTTACCGCTCCCTTAATGGAAGCCGAGGAGTTCTGTCCTTGGAAGTCTTTGATGAGATTCGCGAAGCTGATTGAGATGTCTGACATGTCTGCGGCTCAAAGTAGCCAAATGAAAGAGGCAAACGTTTCCTTCACACTTACCTACAGTATTCGCTGAAATCGATCTTGTCGTCTTTATTGAGGTCTGCCTCCTCAAAGGTGCGCTCTACGACTGCGGCCGCCTCTTCGGTGCTGAAGTCCAATGTCCCCTGCAAACCAGTCAGCAGGTTTCGGAGCGAACTTCAAGAAACCGCTTCAACAAAATGATAGTGTGTTGACGACGATAGTAGCTTGGTTGAGTGTCGGTCTCTTAACCAGTTCGTGGCTTGAAGTGGCAGCTCTTTTCCTCTTTTGGTGCGCACCACATGCGCTGCTCACCTCGTCCGATACTGCTGCCAGCATCTCCGCTAGCTCGCGATGGGTGATCTCTCCTTGCTGATTGGCAAATAGACGGAACGACACTGCAGGCAGATGAAATAGGACTGGGCATCAATACATTTTCCCGAAGAGGCCTCCCCCAGACCAACCGTTGTTTGAGGCATGTCAGATCATCACATTGACTCCATTTTCTGCTGATGCCAGAATCGCTTTGTGCCTGATTGAAGGGAAAACATCTTGCTTAGATTGGCAACCACATTCAACAGGTGCGGTGTGTCGACGTTGCAAGTCAGGAGATCCTTACATTTTGTCTTTTCGAGGTCTGGAGCTTCTTCAGCAAAGGCGGAGAGGGTGTTGCAGAACTCCGCAAAGCTGATCTTCCCATTTCGGTCTTGGTCCAAGAGGGAGAACATGCGCTCCACAAGCAGTGGCTGCTTCAGGCCCAGTGCCAGCTGTAGCTCTTTCTGCAAGCAAGAATGCGCAAGGGTGACAGTCATATCCTTGGCGCGATTTTAGTACCACCATGGTGTTTGCTGCTTTCCTGAGAGTGTTTGTGCTCGCTCTTTCTCCGTCAGAAAGATTGGGCAGTGTTCATGCCTTAGAGCTTGCAAGACTGCGCGCTGACCTTCTGTATTGACGCCTCATCCTTGCCCCCATGCTTTTTTGCATGCTCCAGTGGGGCTGACAGTGTTCCTATCAGTGCCTTGACCGCGCCTCCTCCGTCCTTGCCATCCCCCAACTCATTCTCCTCCTTTTCAACTTCCTTATGGGCAGCCACTTCACAGAAGATCTTGTGAAGCGTCCGGACTTGGCCAGCATTGACTGCGGGAGCAAAGTATCATAGCTCATCAGTAGCTTCGACGGTGACCACGATGCTGGCAAGTCAGAATCTCTGGGCTGCATTGCGCACCTTTCTAATGATCAAGAGTGTCACAGCCTGGACCAAAAAACGAATTCTGGAAGCAAATGTATTATGCAACTTCCCTGCTACAAGCTGTAATTTGCTTACATTCGCCCTGTTGATGTGCAACAAATGGGCTTACAACAATCAATTGATAAAGAAGATGTTTCCAGTCAGGAAGGAACTCAACAGTAAGTTGTGTCCACAAAATGCTGCACGTCTTCTTTGCTCAGTGATTGTTGTGCCCCCATGCTGCCGGTGCCGACAAAATCAGCTGGTTGTTAGACCATCCTCTTGATGCAGGTAGCTGCTAGTGCTGTTTCTTGTTTCAAGACAAGAAAGCTGAAAAACTACACGAAGAAGAATCTAAGGGCCAGCATCAGATACTCCACTAACCACTAAGCCAACAGAATGCCCCACCAACATTCTAGCATTCCTCCAAGCTCCGCAGTTCCTAATGCAGTAAGATTCTGCTCACAGTGGTCCTGCTCTGTCGATGCTCTGTTGATGAGCATGTAGCGCCAGAGAGGTCTTCCCGGCTGATTAAGATCAGGATAACTTTACACTGGGACCCAAGCGAGCTTGCATTGCTTGCGACGCGCGAGAGGTAGCAGGCTGCATGGCAAGCGGGCCAGGCCTCCATGAATCTGACAGTGATAGGTATGCTCAATGGGACCTGCCCGATGAA